AATAAAACTAAAATAACTAAATACACAATTAAAACTAAAAAACAATCAGCCATGTAACTATCAGAGGGAAGAAGGCAGGAAATTGAGAGTGGGGACCCACTAACATGGCTATCTTATTATGAAAATGTCATTATTTTCAGCATCAGTGGTTTAACACAAAGGTCCCCAGGCCCTGGGTCACAGACTGATGTGGCTTCCTGGTGTGACAGGAACCTGGGTGCATCACAAGAGGTGAGCAGCAAGACAGCAATCTGAACTTCCCCTGTGTCTACAACCACTGGCCACGGCTCATATCACCACTTGAGCTCTGCCTCCTGTCAGATCAGCAGCGGCATTAGATTCTCACAGGAGCCTGGACTACCGTGAACTAGGTATGGGAGGGATCTAGGTTGCGTGCTCCTTATGAGGATCTAACATAATAATAAAAATAAAGTGCAGAATGTAATAATAATAGAAATAAAGTACACAATAAATGTAGTGCACTTGAATCATCCCAAACCTATGTCCCTGACCTATGGAAAAATTGTCTTCCATGAGTCCCTGGTGCCAAGAAGTTTGGAAACCATTGGTTTAGTAAACACTGCCACTCTGTCTACACAAGCTCCCAAGAACCTGGCTCTCCCTCAAACCAGCTAGTAAATAGTTAATGTCTCTAGGAGCCTGCTTCTCTGCAGTAAGGCTAGCTTCAATGCAGCTACAAGTTGCAGGATTTTTGTGACAATTCAATGCTACAATGCATATAAAACCCTTGAAAGACTTTGAGCATATGAGAAGTTATTACAATAGTTTTTACATGAAGTATGAATTTTTTGCTAAACTATCCCTACTATCTCAATCAAATGCATTCCATTTCCTTACCCTAACTTTCCTTTTTTTCTTCATATTCAATTCCCAAATTCCTGCAAATTTACAAATCCACAATCACCACAAAACTTGCACTGTTTTAGCTTCCAAAAAAAGCCATTTCCCTCCTCTGAGCAGCTATTAATACATTGTTTATATCATACTATATTAGGTACTATCATGTAATATAATTTTATGTACATGTTTTTATGCTCTGCTGGATTATAAATTCATTCAGAGAAGTACTATCCCAGAGATATACAATTTGAGACACTTACAATGTTCTAGTGGACACATAAAAAAGTTAATAGCAATTAAAATTAATTTAATAACACCTAATTGAACCAGAAATGACCAAATTATCACAAAATTTATCATGCAATCAATATAAGTCAATGAAGTTGTATATACTTAGAACACCTCATTTCATAGGAGCCATATTTCAATTGCTCAATGTTAGCCGTATGTGGATGGTAGCTACCATTCTGAGCAATACAGCCTAGGACATGTATTGTCCTCTACACTCTGTATTTATCATAATGCCTAGCATAGCACATTTGTTATGTCAGAAGCTCAATTAACATTTGTTAATTAATAACTTATTTTGCTAATTTATTTAAAATCAGTACAAGGTTTATCTATGGAAAATATACTTCTGCTATTTATAACACAAAAAGTGAAAGCTGGAAAATAATGATTTTAGCTTTCTTTATAGAATAAGAAGTTTGTTTTTCTTAGGGAGTAATACAATGCAATTTCAATTCTATTTCACATTAACAATATAGTTTATATGTACCAAGTCTTGTAAAGAAATTATATATATGGCAATAAAATGTGTTTATTGGTATATTTGATATGTTTGAATAAATAATCCTACTTTCTGACTAAAATAAAACTATTAAGTAAGAGTAATTAACTCATAAATCAAACACATGGCATTTGGTAAGGCTCAGTGAAAATATTTTCCTAATCACCATGATTTTTCTGTAAAGTAATATGCTCTGAAATGTATTCACTACTTTCATAAATGATTTCCCAGATACTCAGATGCTGCTCCAGAAAATGAATGGCATTATTTCCATACTCATAAAAACACACTGTGAGGAACAGATCGATTTTAATTGCTCGTCAGAAAAACTGGTATGAAAAATGTATGATTCCAAATATGTATCCTAGCACTCTAAAGCTAGGCCTATCTACTCCTTCCTTTTCAATTTTATTGTTACCTTTCCTCTTAACTTTATATATCTATTTGCCTACAGAACAGATGTGGGTCGAGCATTATAAAGAATTAACAAAATAAAGTAATTAAGAAAGGAAAAGAACTTACCTTTGGCAGTCTCAATGGTAATTTGCAAATTGGCAACTGGTAATGGTTTTCACTAAGTACAAGAGATTGATCCAAGTTAGAAGTTATCTTTTCCTTGGGTATTATATAAACTACAATTGTCCCCTTATAATGAGGGCAGCTATAGTTTCCAAATTCATCCACTTCTTTGATCTGAAGTTCCAGCCTAGATTTTCTTTGTAAGTGGAAAATAAGCCTGTGGTCTTTTCCATAATCCTTCCCATTGCCTAAGTAGAAGTAAAATGAATTTGTTACCATTAAGACACATCACTTTGTTTTAATTTTTTAAACATAAGTAATCATTTCATATTTAAATACAATTAAAGTGTACATTTTTTTTTTGGTACCAGGTCCTTGCACTTGCGCAGCAGGCGGCGAAACCACTCAGCTAAATCCCCAGCCCTAAAGTGTACTTTTTATGTGTCCTATTCTTACCAAAACATAACTTGATAAAGCAGCAATAGATTGAGAATATAGATTACTAGAAAGATTTTTCATCTATAATTTGGTCATGTGCTTTTTGCTGCTTCTAGATCTGATAATCTTCCATTTCCTACTTTTCCCCCATTTTGCTGGAACAAGAAACTATTAGAAACATTTAGCTCTCTCAGTGTTTAGAAAATTATCTTCATGCTTTAAGAATGATCTTTTTCCTTTGCCCTAACTCTTCATATCATATTTTACATAATCAGGTCCTTATAATTGACATTCTAGTACTGTACTTTCCTATATATGGCCATTTAAGTTTACATGAAATTTAATTAAAATTAAACAAAATTTAAAATTCAACTCCTCAGTCACTCTAACCACATCTAAAATGCTCAGTAGCCACATGTCTAGTGGCTACCTTATTGACCAGCACAGAAATAAAACATTCTCACACTTGCAGAAACAGATATTGGCGTTTAGGAACATCCAAATGGACTAGCTATTGGATTTGTGTTACTGAAACTTTCAAGAAAATGTAATGGAGGCTTCTAAAATAATTATATAGATAAAGGTCTCCATTCCTCACTGAAAATACTGAAACTTTTGTGAAGATAATCTTGCGTTTCCAGGGGTTGCACCAGGGGAATCTAGATATTTTGCTCTGGTATTCCAACGGTAGAAGGGGCATTGCAATATATGTCTTTACCTTTACAAAATCTATATTACTATAAATGCGGCAGTTATGATGACATAGTTTGGAAAGAAAGATCTAGATTCAAGTCTAGCCCATCATTTTCTGCACCTACCATTTTTCCAGTTCTTTTGCATTTTTGAAACTTTAACTTCCTTATCTTTAAAATAGGAAGAAACAAATTTACCTCTTAGTATTGCTCTGGGAATGAACTGAGATAATCTCAATAAAGTAATCTCAATAACAGGCCCTGGCCATGTTAAGTGCTGAGTAAATGATACCAAATGACAAAGGAAGATTTTTTTTATTACTTTGTATTTGTGTTCTAAAAATGAAACCCAGTTAGCTTTTTAAAAAAATGACAAAGTGAAACTTTATTATCTAAGTTGAAACTTCCTTCTCTTCAGTAGGACATCTTAAAGTTAATTGCCTCAAACTGTCTTTCATGAAAAATCTTCCATTTTGAACAGTAAAAGAAGAATTCAGTGAGAGATGTAGAACACACCACTATCCTCCTTATGGTGAAAGCGAAAGGTCATTTTGGTGAACGTTAAATCTACAAATAGACTTGAACACAGATTTACACAATAGCACAGCTCCCGGATGTAGAAGGCAGGAGTAGATCCCTTTGTCCAAATCTATATTTCAGGGGCAAGCTGGTACTCGAACAGAGCAAATGTCTAAGTGAAAAACTAGCTAGGAGCATTTCTTACAAGTTTTACTCTTTTTTCAATTGAAGATAAATTATTTAGGGTAGATAAAATGTGATTTTAATTTTAAATACAGTAAATTAAATTTACAGATTACTGGAGTAATACATGGTAGACTTTGCTTCCCATTATTCAAATAGTCTCAGGAAAAATATTAATACTTTGATCTCAATGGAATAAAATTTAGTAAATTTCTCCTTTCTTCCTTTGACTTTCTTTCCCTGACAGTGCACAGTTATTCATAAGGTATAATTTATAAAAGGAACAAAAGGATTAAGGATGATTTTGGATCTAAAGCCTACCTACTTCTTGTTGGCCGTTTTAAAAAATAAAGATCCGTAGTATAACTCTAAAAGTCACATTTATATATGAAATATGAATGAACTTATTGAGGATTTGCTATTAATATGCAGCATAATCCTAGCATTATAAATAAAAAGTATTATATAAAAATTTTTAATTATAGTTTTATTATTGCTAAGACATAATACTATATTTTGAGGACCTTTGATCCCTGGAAAAGTGGTACATGTCATATATATAAAGAAATTGTATTGTTTTATTTGTTATCCTTCACTGGCATACTTAAAGAAGTAAAAGCAAAAGTTACTCATTGCATATTCACTCACTACTTGACCTTTTAAGAATCTTTTTCTATTTCTCAACCTTTATTGTACATAGGACCTAGTAGGGACCTCAGATGGCAGCTTCTCAATAAATCTTTGTCATATAAAGAAAACTAAAATTTTCTTATATTTTGTGAGTGATTGTTTTCATGGTGATATATTTTCTTCTCAATAATGGACATTGAATGTTTTTCATTGATTTGATGTCATAGAGAGTACAAACATAAAATGTATTTTTCCACATAGAAAAGTTAGGTGAGAAGAAAAAGTTCTAATATGGAGAACAACAACAACAAAAAAACTATGAGAACCACTGGGTTGGGGTATTCCTACAATTCTAACCCCTTCTCAACCACCTCCACCTCCAAAACACTGCCATCTCTTATCTGGTAACTTTGAAATGGCACCTCTGCCACTCCTAAAACTTGGTCCCTTTTCTTTTTTATTAGTATATTTGTCATACATAATAAATACACTCGTCCTGGGGAGTTGGTACATACACATATCACATCTTGATCCTTCCTCTCCTTTTCATGGGCTCATTTACTTATTCTCTGTATATAGCTTCTAGAGTATAATATACATGTTGGCAGGGAATTTTTGTTGAATGATTAAAAGGGATGAATATTTTAGCACCCAACACAGGTGTCTAGGAAAATCACTTCCCCAGACCAAAAGGCGTCAGGGCAATTCTGAGACACACAGGCCTCTCTAGGGCATTACTAGATATGAGGGGAAGGGTGTGTGATTATAAAAAAATCTTGGGAAAGCACTTCCTCGCATTTTTCTGAATTTGTGTACAAGAAGGGCTTGAGTGCAATGGAACAGAAAGTCTAAATGCTGAACTGATAGTTCTGACCTAGAGAACAAAAGTATGCTCTAACTTTGTCCAGAAGAAGGACAAAGACCAATTTAAGCCCAGTGGGGCCAGGGCTTTAGCTCAGTGGTGTCACTGCCCTGCCTCACAAGCTCAAGGTCCCAAGTTCAATCCCCAGTACCAAAAAACAAACAAACAATTTAAGCCCAGAGAGAGCACCTACCCATCTTATTTTCGTTAGAAAGTTTGTATATAAGCGAATAGAGAAAATTTGGCATTTCTCAAAGGGGAGTCATGTAAATTCGATAAAGTTTTAAACACTTTGTGTGTATATGTGTATGCATCTGTGTGTGTGTGTGTGTGTGTGTGTGTGTGGTACTGGGGACTAAACCCAGGGCCTTTGAGGTGAGCTACATCTCTGGCCCTTTTTTATTTTTACTTTTTAAATTTTGAGACAGGTTCTTGTTAAGTTGCTAAATCCTCCAGGCTGGCTCGAACTTGCAAACCTCCTGCCTCAGCCTCCCAGAGTGCTCTAAATACTTTTAATAACATTTAATACTGTAATATTAACTTCTTCCCCAAGTTACAGCATTTTCCCAACAACTACTCACTGAGCTCCTTCTAGCTGCCAGGCACTATCCTAGGAGCTGAGGATTGAATGTTGCTCACCAAAAAAGACAGTGCCTGCCCTCACAGGACTATCATCAGAGAAGCTGGCATTGATCAATTAAATATTATTGTTCAGATATGCAGTGTCCCTCCAAGTCTCATGTGTTGAGGGCTTAATCCTTGTGAAAGTTAATCCTCATATGTCAACTTCACAGGATTAAAAGACACCTTGAAGATTGTTGGCGTATGCTTCTGGGTGGCTGGTGGAGGTGTGGCCTTGGGTATAACATGTGGTCCCTCACTCATCCCTCTCTGGCACTGGGCCCATGCTCTGCTTCCCAGCCAGGAACTAAGCAGCTTACTTCTGCCACACCCTTTTGCCATGAGTTTCCGGCCTCAGATTCTGCCAATCATGTACCTGAATCTCCTAAAAACATGAGCTAAATTGAACCTTTCCTCCTTTAAATTGTGAGTACTAGGTATTGTGCTCAGCAATGGGCAAGCTGACTAATACAATTCCCAGTGCTGCAGCGTTCAGAGGTGGGGCTGAGAGAAGTGACTGGACCAGGAGGGTGCTGACCTCATCGGAACTTTAACCTACTGATTAGATTATTTGGAGGTCAAGCCCAGGTGGAGGAAGAAGTGTGTCTTCAAAGGGTGCCACCTGCCCCCAGTCCCTTCTCTGCTTTTCTCACTGTCTCTCTCCTTCCTGGCAGCCATGAGGGGAGCAATTATCCACCATGCCCTTCCACCTTGATGTTTCATTTGTATGTTTGTTTGTTTGTTTTCACCTTGATGTTTCTGCCACGAAGCTGATCAACCATGGAGTGAAACCATGACCCAAAATAAACTTTTCCCCCTTTAAATTGTTTTTTTTTTTCCTGGTATTTGGTCACAGCAATGGAAAGTTGACTAACACAGTGAGCAAACAGAAAATTACATCTGTGACAAAGGACCCAAAAAAGTGAAGATCTGCAAAAGTATAATAAGGCTCTAGAAAAAAAGAAACACTGATATACTTGGGAAATACAATATCACATTCTTTGAATCTAACCACTGAAGTGGGATCTGACAATGGGGATGAAGGTAGTGAACAAAGAAAGGGAAGAAAACCTTGCAGGCAGAGAACCTCTGATTTTGTCTCCTTGGGGTTCACAGAAACTACTCAAGGCTCTGATTTCCATCAGGTACCGATTCTTTACTGCAGGTTTTGTTTCACTTAGAGAAAAATTCAACCATGCTCCAGGTCTGAGCATGAGTCTCTAAGAAAAGCAAAGTAGCAAAGATCTGGGCATCCTGCCTGACTCACTTTCTTCGAGTGAGGATCTCTCACATGGAAGAACTGCACACATGCCGGCTACCTTTAGGCACTTCGATTTAGCATGCGTTCCCTTCTCCATTAATAATCGTACACTCAGTTCACTCCCTATAAGGATAGTAACTACTCATGTTCAGGGCAGTAAATGCAGTTGTGTCCCAAGTATTATGGGAAAAGCTTTTTCATCAGTACTTTGGGGTCCACTTCTGGTTTTTCAACTGTTTCTCAGAGAGATTTCCCCGGGGGAGACACCATGGTTTCTGCTCCATAAACCAAGTAGGAAGGAATTTCTTCCACCCTTCCTTCCCCTCCTTTTTATCCCTTCCCTTCCTCTTTGATATTCTGGTGAGTCACTTACTGAGTCCTTTCAGGGGTTTGGGTGGCTAAGATTCAACATGGGAAAGTGGAAGACATTTCAAACTGAGATTTTGAATTTCACTTATTCCTGGTCACCAGAAGAGCAACATTGGCTTCAAGGCTTATCAGCAATATTTTTGTTTATGTGCTTTGGTTTTTGCTTTGTTTTGGTAGTACTGATAGGAATCAAACTCATGGCCTTGTGTATGCTAGACAAGTCCTTTACCAGGGAGCTGCATCCCCGGTCTCACTTTTTTTTTTCTTTTTGAAGCAACAAAGATACATTGGGTTTTAGAGCCATTTCCTGAATCAGAGAGAAAGTAGACAGGCATCATCAAACTCAATGGGATATGTATGAATTCATAAATATACAGAGAATATTACCTCAAGTGAACTGCATAGCAAGACTCCCAGCCTAGAAATCTCCATGGGGATTCCTTTACTTCTTTAAAGGGATTCTCCCATCTTTACATGGGGATTACTTCTTTACTTCTTTAAAGGGATTCCCCCATCTTTACATGATTCCTCTCCATCTCAGGAAAGGTGTTAGGGGAAGGAGTTAATTTAACAAAAAAGAAGTTATCACTGTGGCAAGTCCACTAAAGATTTTTTGCTCTTTTCTCACACCCATCTCCTTCCTTATTCTTCTTTTTTCTTTCCCTTTTGCTTTTTTTTTTTTTGGTGCTGGGGATCAAACTCAGGACCTTGTGCTTGCGAGGCAGGTGGTGGAACTACTGAACTAAATCCCTGGCCCCTCTTTTTCTCTTGCTTTTTAACTCTCTCCTCAAATCTCCTTCATCTTCTCTGTTCGCTTACCACTCTCATCTCTCCCTCCACTTCTCATAGCCATCATCATGCTTGATAGCCTCAGCACTGTCACAGACTCCTTCATTTGCTATACTTTTATTGAAAGTCTGTGATGTGCTAGGCTCAGAAAACATAAGACAAGAAAGACATGCTCACTGTCTCATGAAATTTCATTCCAGTGAAGACTGTAACATGAGTATATGGGCAAAAAAGTATAAACTGAAAAAAGTCAAATTGTGATAAGGCTGATAACAGGAACAAAAATAACACTCCATGAATATGAAGACAAAGAGGAGGAGGATGTGTCATCTGGGTCTGAGGTTCCTAAATCTCTTTTGTGCTATGGTCAATTATATTGTAGCAAAAACTGTCAATTCTTTCTGAGAGTTACTTTTTAAATGTATAAAATAAAATACATGAAAATACAAATAAAGCAATTATGCTAAATATAGTTTCACCCAGTATCTCTTTTGAATCCACTAACCCTGGGTTAGATTCTTACAGGACATGTTGAAGAGTTTAGAAGTTATTGTAGTCATGACAGAAGGCAATAATAAGGTTTTAATCAGAGGAGTAATATATACATGCTGCTATCTTTACAGCAGGGCCACTTCCCTGGAAACCTACCACAAGTTGAAAGTATCAGGAGTCAAAAGTGCATTTAATACACTTAACCACTGAACATCATAGCTTAACAACCCAGTCAAGTATCAGTTATTTCCCCTCACTATTCCCTGGGTGACTGGGAGCTCTGGCTCACTGCCACTACCCCACATGACAAGAAAATATCATACCACATTTTCTAGCCCAGGAAAAGATCAAAGTTCAAAAATTAACATTCAGTTCCACTGAATGCATATTGCTTCTGTACCACTGTAAAATGGAAAACTTTTATATCAAAGTTAGAGACTGTCACATGATGTAAGTTTTTAACAGATCACTCAGTTAGTGGTTGGGAATAGATTTCCAGTGACTAAGAGTAAAGTAAGGAGCACTATAGGGGGATACTGCAATATGATAGGAAAGAGATTACTGTAGCTTGGACTTTGGAAGTCACCATGGAAGAGAAGACTATTTCTAAAAGATCACTCCGAGTCTGCCTAGAAAGAAACAGGCATCCTCTAAGTAGAGAAAAAATAGACTTCAAAGGAAAAAGTAAATATTTCTCTTTCTCTTCCTTCTTTCTAAAAACTCCCCTCAATTCTCTGAAGATTTCTTTGATGATAAGAGTGTGATAAACTTGTGAAATTGGTAGAATACATTAAAAGAGTGCTTTATACTTACTCGAACCAAATATGTTTCCAGTAAACCTTAAAAGCAGTTGTTCTCCTTCTCTTACTTGGAAATGGCGAGGTGATTCTGGGAGTCCTCTGAATCCTTCCAAGTGCAAGTTCTTAAGTGTCTGGTTTAAATTTTTAGAAGGCACCACTAAAATCACCACTCTATGTGGATTGTCCTTCTGGTGGGACAGTACTACACAGGCAGTGGTGCTGAGCGAGGCTTCCTCTAAAGACTTCACAAAAGAAACCAAGTGGCTGCTGTCCACCATAGAGGAAAGGTAAAGCACAATAAACCTGCACAGAAGAAAAGAGGCAAGACCTGCAGGAAACTCACAGCCTCCAAAACATCCTTGACATCTAGCAATATCCAAGAAAGGAATCACTATCCTTTAAAGCAAGCATTCTGCTGTCCCACTGGTTAAATTCGTGAACAGCTTTAGTAAAACTCTTGGTAGTCAAGAAATCAGTTCGAGTCAAACTAAATTCTAACACATGTTCCTAAAGTAATCACATCATCTCAACTCAGCTTTAAAAATGGCACCCTATTATAAGTTGTATGTTCATGTGCTACATAACAATGTTGCAGTCAACGATGGACAACATATGCTTTGATGGTCCCACAAGATTATAATGGAGTTGGGCCAGGGATTTAGCTCAGTGGTTCCAGCGCCTACCTTGCAAGCGCAAGGTCCCAACGATCCCCGGTACCAAAAAAAAAAAAGATTATAATGGAGCTTAAAAAATTGTATTGCTCAGTGATTTTTCTATATTAACATCACAGTGCAACACATTACTTCTATGTTTTTGGTGGTGCTGGTGTAAACCTATTGCACTGGCAGCCACATAAGAGCATAGCACATACTATATAGTACAGAGTACTTGATAATGATAATAAATAAGTATCTTACTAGTTGATATATTTGCTATAATATACTTTTCATTGTTACTTTAGAGCATGATCCTTCTATTTATATTAAAAATAAATAGTTAACTATAAAACAACCTCAGGCAGTTCCTGTCAGGAGACTCCAGAAGGAACCGTTGTGCTCACAGGAGGTGAGACATCCATTCATCTGTGTCACGGCCCCCGCAGACCTCTCAGCAAGACAAGATATGGAGGTGGAGAGTGTGATTTTGATGAACCTGACCCTGTGTAGGCCTAGGCTAATGCGTATTTCTGTGTCTCAGATTTTAACAAAAAATAAAAATAAAAAGTTAGACACAGTAAAATCTTAGAGAATTATATGGAAAAAAACTTTTATATGGTTGTACAATGTGTTTATATTTTAAGCTAAATATTTTATGAAGGAGTGAAAAGGGTTTTTTTTATTTTAAGGCTGATCAAGTAAAAATGTTATAGTAAGCAAGGTTAATTTATTATTAAAGAAAGAAAAGATTTTAATCAATTCAGTGTAGCCCAGGTTCAGTGTTTTAAAGTTTACAGTAGGGTGCAATTGTGTGTGGGGCCTTCACGGTCATCACTACTCACTGGCTCACCCCAGCAATGGCCAGTGCTGTATGCTGCATTCATGGTAAGTGCCTAAGCAAGTGCTCAACTTTTATATCTTTTATGCTGTATTTTCCTGTATCTTTTCTGTATTTAGATACACTAATACCATGTGCTATAATTGCCTGCAGTAAGCAGTATATAGTAACATGCAATCCAGGTTTGTAGTGTAAGAGCAATAGGCTGAATATTGCCTTGGTGTGCAGAGGGAATCTACTCAGGTTTGTGCAATCACACTCTATGATGCTGACACAAAGCAACTGCCTCCTGATGCAATTCTTAGAACATATCCGGTCATTAAACAGAGCTTGACTATATTTTAAGTAACATTACCAAAGTATCATTTCAAAATATAAAAGTAAACGATGTTCCAGATAATCTACTCCCATAGGATGCAGACTATATACCATAATTAAGTGGAGATTGGAATACTGATCTCTATTTCTGTGTGGTCAGGATTTGATGGATTTGCTATTTGAATTATGCCCCCTTCCCAAGTCCCTTACTGCAATATTAACCCCTATACCCTAGTATATGACCTCAGTCCCAGATAGACTTCTTACACTGGTAAGCAAGTTATGGTGAATGCCCTGATCCAATATGATCAGTGTCATAAAAAGGAGAGATTTTAACACAGGGGAAAGTATACAAAGAAAACACCATGTGAACATGAAGGTAGTTATCTGTAAACCAAGGAGATTCCTAGAGTTTATCCTTCTCCCACCCTCCTAAGAATAACGCCTTGCATTTGAACTCCCAGCCTCCAGGAATCTGAGACAATCAATTTCTCTTGCTCAAACCACCAATTTGTGGTACTTTGTTACAACAGCTATAGCAAAGTAATACAGATTGTATTTCTGCTACATCAATCATTCCTCAGCTCTTCTCCAAAGAGTTGCCCTGTGGAAGCCTTCATCCAAGCAGCCCCTCTTCCACACCAAGGATGAGCTGATGTGAACGTGTAAAGCCAACATTTCTGCTGCTTCTGAGCTCCCTCAGGTACAAGGCAGGGGAAAGACTCCGGCTGAAACTGGTTTCCTCTCTTCTTCCATGGCTCTGCCTGCTTCTTTCATTTTCTTGCAGGACCCACCTGAGAGCCCTGCCTCACTAAATCTCTTGAATTCTCATCTTAGGCTCTGTTTCTAGGGAACTTCATCCAAGATAATTATAGACATAAGGTCTTCATTATGAAATAAAGGCTATCTTTAGACATGTGATTGCCCTCTCTTTCTGTGTGTCTGCTCCTGATGAACCTCAAAACCGTCTAAACTCTCCTCATAATGGGCTGTCTAGAAAACATGGAAATGAGAAACCAAAACGAGGGCACTGAAATAACAAATTCAGTTTATATATACATAGTTACGAGATGAGCATAACATGAACAGTTAATTACTATCCCCACGGAATTTCAGAAATGAAGGTGCTATTTTAAAACTATTTCAGAGTTAAAAGAATCCTATAAAACTGTAAGTTATGAGTGGTTAGGTTACCAAAAGCACTTGTTTAACTGTTATGAAAGAAAATATAAACAGCATATTAACATAAATTGTGGCTTACCTTTCAAGTGCACCCTAAAACACGTTCATATTCCTATTTGAGGAATAAAAATCAAAACCTATAATTCCATGTCTATACACCACAATTATAGACCTCCAGGAGGAGAGAATACACCCAACCTAGATTGCTCAGGATGGCATTACCTCTCTAAATGTTCATACAGTTCAAATGATATCAAGCCACTCTGGATGGTTCTCACCACAATGTTATCAAGTCCAAACCAACCACTATCGTGGCTTCTGAATCCCAGTAATTTCAAAGATTCACAAGGGTTGTTTCCAGGTTTTCTTATAGAAGCACTTTTGGCCCTATACAAAGATAACAGAAAAGTAATTGGTAACATTTACATAACATAATAGCATAAATCAAATGATTTAATGCCTCTATTCTTTCACTAAGTGAATAACCCAGTAATAATTCATTAAGTAAATGTTTTACATGAGAAAGAATTCCAGGCATCAGGAATACAAAGATCAGAAGATGTGGCACTCATGCTATCACAATATTATCTGACTCCAATACAAAGTGATCCATGTGTAATTAAAGGAAGGTACAGGGTGGGTTTAGCAGCAGAAGCCAAGTACTCAGGGAAGCTTGCAAAATGAAAATGCTTACATTAAAGATGAGGCTTGGAGAATGAGAAACATTTTACTCATTTACATTTAAAAAGAAGTTGAATGGAACACTCAAAAGCATCAGGGAATCTGATATACACCCAGATTCATTAGGAAGCCAAGTGTGGTCATACACCACAATAGGTAAGATGCAAATCTGCCCAGTTTCAACTCCTGGGTGACTCTGCTTCTTATTAACATATGACCATGGGCAAGTTATTTGATTCCTCTGTATCTCAATTTTCTGATCTATAATATGAGGGTAATAATAGTATTTACATCATAGAATTAAATGAGTGAATAATTGTAAAGCACTTATAATTTGAGCAGGATAAATGTTATTAATTTTTACCCTAATTTCTATAGCAAACATAGTCAATTAGCTTTCTTGTATACTTTTCCTTCCATCATAATCTGCCCAAGCAAAGGCCCTAAAAGAGACAGTTGTGTGAGCCATATGCTGTTTCTCATCAAACTACAGCTGGTTTGATTATCTGCAAAGCCAGTTTGACTTTCTGTCATTGGAATTTGATTAAGAAGTTCAGATTTTATAACTTCTCACTTTCCTTTGGCTGTGTTGCCCTGGAATATAGAAGTTAATAACAGAGAGCTTATTAGAAAAATTTAAAAACTAGATTTCAAAGAAAAAAAATCAAGAGAAGGATCCATGGAGTCCTCAAAATAGAAAATAAATCAGGGGTTAAATCTTCTAATCTTACAATAAAACTTTTATTTGAGTTTTATTTAGGTGGGTATCTGTTCTTCATAAGTGAAGGAAGAAAAGACTTTGACACTAAACATCTTGGAAGAAAAATACATTGGTAATAATCAGCATGGGGGGAAATATGATACAACACACAAAAAGCTAGGTACTAAGAATGAAGACACAGGTGTGAATCCCATATCTCTTTTGTGTATATGCGTGTATGAACAAAACTAGGGTTACAGACTTAAAACCACCTTAAATTCACAGGGTGAGATGTCCTCTGATCCAGAGACAAGGAACTAAACTAGATTTAGAAGGTTTAAGCTAAAAAACCCTTAGCTTGTATTGGTTATTTCAGAGGATCAGCTACTTAAAATCAAGAGTAGGGTGAAATAGTTTTTGGTTGCTGGGTGTAACTACAGATAATGATAAATTTTTAACCTTCGGAAGTTAATAATTTATTCACATAGGAAGATATAATGAATCTAGAACTTTGGTCATTTACTAGAAATTAGTAAATTAACTGCAGTGTTAATTTTTGTTTTTCTGGCATCAGCTTTTTCTGCCAATAGTATAAATCTTCCATGGGATCCTGTAGGCTTCCCAGTGTGATGGGACTTCCCTATTCCCAGCTCCTTAAGGCAAATAATGCATTTGCCATTCGTTAGTTCTGTTCACCAAAATCCCTTATTTACTCTCTTTCTGTGTTCATGATGGGATTGCATGCCAAAGGTCTTTCTTCTGACACCATGACAGCAATCAGACAGTGGTTTCCCTGTCTGCCTAAGTCCCTTGGTGAGAATAACTGAGAAGCAGCCTACTTTTGATGGCCACACACTATGTATGAGATATTAAAACTAGTGTTAGAAGCCCTTGGGAGTGGAGTGTTTTGCTGTCACATCATAAACTAGGATAATCTGCACTGTACCTTCCTTCTAGTTACAGTAAAATCTTCAAGGATGAGTTTGGACAGATTTGGAAGGAAAATCAAGCTCCGGGACTTTATGGTGGGGAAAAGAACTTTCTTTTTCACTGAACTTGGAGCAATGAAGATGTTGTGCAGCCATGCTGTCAGCACAAGGGAAAAACCTGTCACAAAATGGAATTGGTATAGAAGCAGGCAGATAGATGCAGAAGAGAGACTGGGTTCTTCCTGGCTCAAGAAAAAGTACAAAACTAAGTGTAGATCAAAAATCCTTTTTTGCTAAACACTTCAGTTTGATTTTCTGTCACTTAAATAAAGAATTCTTGAGATAAAAAAAGAATTTAGAATGATAAAAGACAGAATTCAGATTCAGATTAAATAATCTGATGATATTCCTATGTCTACCAGATATTAATGGAGTTCCAACTAAACTATTCTCTTTATATGTGCCATTCACATTAACAACCGTGTTTTCCCAAAAATAATTCCTAGCTGGAAAAGAATCAGCCTGAAAAACTAAAGATCAAAAATGTCTTACCTGCCTTATAGAGTGGCCACCAAACAAGAGAATAGTGAGAGCAGGTAAGGCAAGAATAGGCTGATTGGGGCTGGTATTTCTGATCTCTAGTTTTCAAGGCTGATTATTTTTGGGTGGGTCTTATTTTCAGGGAAAGGGGGAATTAATTCTGTCTAGCAGTGAATGCCACTTGGTCAAACTCCACACAAGATAATGTTTTGATTTCATGATACATTCATAAAATATACTAAGTTCTTATTTAAACAATTTACTTATTTAAAAATGATCAAATTTTACCCAGAGAGTGTCATGCTTTCTGAGAGTACTGATTAAAATGTATAAGCTACTTTATCCATGGAAAAAAATAATATGATGAATAATTTGGCAAGCAATCACATAATCAAAATTCTCTTATGATATCTTACTTTCAGATTAGTTCCTTTATGGTATGCATAATGTATAGGTATTTAAAAGTGAATGTCATTAACATTTCAGGATTAACTTTTTCTCAGAAAACTATAATTTAGTCATTAAAGTACTAATTTGAAATGATATGCTACTCTCAAAAAAACTGAAAATTTTCCCCTTATAAGTTATGCCTATTGATTATAGGTGATGTTAAAACAGAGAAGTAAATGAAAATGGAAAATACATGTAATTCAAATTACCTAGAAACCAACATTATAACATACTGATAAATTTCTGGTCATCTTTTTTCTGCATAGTTCTTTATTTGGTTTGTAAAATGGTAACCATATTCTGTGTCAAATTATGGACCCTAATTTTGACATTTACAACCAACAAAATCATTTTGAAAATCAATTCAAATGACTTTAGTACTCATGACACCACTGATAGAAATGTCTTCACAGAAATCTAGGTACAGAAGCATTCAGCTGTAAATGATAGTGTGGTGAACAAAACATGAAGCTTCCACAGTCATATGAGAAACGTAAACTTTAGACCTTCACCAAGATATGCAGGGGCTGAAGTCGTCCCAGGGAAGTAGCAACTGAGGCTCTGCAGAGGCAGAAACAAACACTGTTTGGAGGAAATCAGCTCCATGTTATACCTGCGGAAATTTCGTATGTACGTGCCCACAAATAAAAGTTTCTCCCAAAGAAAGAGATAAATTCCATGGAAAAAAGTCAATAGCAGCAACAGGCAATAGATATAAATACTGTAAAGAGTAAAGATTTTGGAATTAAAAAAGATTTTGGAATTAGTACATATGGGATGAAAGCAACTATATAGGACAAGTTTAAGAAAATGAAAGACAGCATCACAAAATTAAGCAGGCAGTCAAAGACTACTAACAGTAATTGAATAAAAGCCAATTTTTTTAAAAGCCAAATAAAAGTTTAAGAAATAAAAATTGGTCAAAATGGTATATTAAAATGGTATGTTAAAAGTAGATTTTAAAGTGTATGATATTTTTGGCATTGGCATTTTGAACTGGAATGTGAAGAATTGCAGATTATAGCACACAAAGGCAGAGAGATGGAAAATATATGAAAAGTAAAGAAATTTGGAATTTCTAAAAAGGCAGTTTAATATACATCATAAGAACTCAGTAAAGAATCGTTAAAGTGAACAAGGGTCAATAATTAATTAGAAAACATAAGATTTTTCAAAAATGTAATATGACATAGTTCCATTTCATCAGGAATCAATATATTTTGTTTAGAAAAAGTTTCTAAGATATCCACCTAGATGTATCATAAATAACAAGTATAGAAAACAAGTATAAAGATCTTAAAAGCAACCAGCAACTGCAAAACTTCACCACTAAAGTTAGAAAAGTTTTAGTTATTGCAGTCTTCACAACAATATTGAATGCTATGAAGAAGGGCAAAATATCCCCAAAGAGAGAGAAAAAAAATCAGTGTTATTCTAGCATCTTCTGCCAAATGTGGTAGGTGGTCTGTGAAACAGACCCTCTGTGAAATGTGCTCTCATGACTGAAGTCCTTGCACACTCTCACAGAGATCTAGAGCCAGCTGTGTGACTCAGCTTTTATCTGCAGAGCTCCACAAGAAAGGAGATGACTACAAGTATATGTGATCTAACAAAAAATAAATAGGGCTAAGGATAGAGCTCAGTGGTAGAGTGCTCACTAGCCTGTGCAAAGGATTTGATCCATAACACTGAAAAAAACTGGGGCATAATGGTTAACCCTGGTGGGATGAGGAGCAATTATAGTGGGGAAGAAGGGGATGGATGGGGAGGGACAAGAAATGAGATGCAATTTTACTGATAATGGTTAATTTCTTATGTATTAGCTTTACTAGTTGCTCATTTTATTATATGATATAACTTGCATATATTTTATAAATATTCTTGGGACAAGTCACATATTACATTTGAATACAATGATATTGAAATATTCCTTGTATAATATATATTTTTATTTAATGATTCTTTTTCTTCCTTCATTGCCGTTGGGAAATCTTTTTTTGTGACTTATTTTATATTTTATTTTATTTTATTTTATGGCAGCATTGGGGATCAAACCAGGGCCTCTTGCATGGTAGGCAATCACTCTA